TGAGACCTCGTTGAGACCTTTTTGCCGACAGCGTGGGCTCGTGGGCTCAAAGTCCTCTTGCCGTTTCACCGCAGCAGCTCCTCTCGATGGCCTCCTGCCCAGTTTCAAAAGCAGAAGCCAGCGTTGCCTGCTGGGAGTCGCTCAGCAAGGCGACCGCCACAGTGCCAGTGGCGCAGATCGACAATTGTGTTCGGCGCAGCCACTTGCAGCAAGGCGAGTCCGTGCCGCCCCTACCGGGTCATGCCAGCTTGGCTGCTCTCATAAACAGAAGTTCCTTTCCTTGAGGCGCTCCACCAAAACATTTCAGAGAAAGGCGCTTGGGGCATTCGGGCCCTCGATTCTCCGTCAGAAGTCCCCAATTTGGAGGTGAGAATGCTTACTATTTCGCCCACAGTAGAAAGTTCGAAATCCCGGAGGCTGGTCCTGTGGGGGGAGAGTGATGTGTGGCCCCTGCAGCACTGCCCCTCTGGATTTGCCGAGGACGCCAAGATCATCGCGGGCCCAGGAGCTCGTGGCCCCGTCTGCGAAGATCGGTTAAAACCCTGCGCTTTTTGAGGACTCGTCACTGGTGGTGCCCCGGAGCTGCTCCAGGACTGCCACTCTGCCCTAGTCCAAGCCCCACCGCCCACCGCCCAGTGCATCAGGACGGAGGTGCAGAGTTGATCAAGGAGGAGGAGAAGATCCTCTGGATCAAGGAGTTTGCCGTTCTGGTCCTGGGGCTTGCCTCTTGCCTGTGGTTTTTGACTGACTTGCTGCGGAAGGATTACGCCTGGGCAGAAGCCGGCGGAAAGGTGAAGGTATATGTCGACTGCGACTTCCTTCCCGAGGACCAGAAAGCGGCTTGCCGCCAACGCGCACGCGAAGTATAGCACTTCACACCGGTGAATGCTGCATACCTATATATGCCCTTATCCATACATTGTCTGCTTGCATATACGTGATGTGCTGTGATTTGGCATGGTGTGATATGGTATGACTGGAATGTCTGACATGCATCTACATATGTGGTACTTGTATGGATATGTAGAAGTGCAAATTCGCAAATTCGCAGACCAGACAGATGCCAGATCATAAGGTCATGTAGAATCTGCGAATCTGCAATTTTGCGAATCTGTGCGAAACATGACCCAGTCTTAAATAATTATCCAGAGGGTTGATGGAATAATTTCTGCAGAATGTTTATTTTTTAGAGCATCTTGAAAATAGCATGGGATGGGGTGGGGTCCGGGCTAATTGAATTTTGCAACCCAGGTCCGAGTCGGACCCGGGTTGCGTCGGGCTTGTAGGTTGAGTGCCTGTTAGGGTCTCTCTTTTTGTATCTATATGTATTATATATTTAATATCACGTGACTTCGTGGGTCCAGGGTTATTGAATTCAGGGTTTCTCGGTTCAGGGTTTCTGGGCTTGGGGTTTCTGGGTTTGGCCGTCAGGGGTACAGGGTTCAGGGTTGGTAGTTTCATACGTCCGCTATAGGGTCTAGGTCAAGGGCTCCTGAGTTTAAGCTTTCTGGGCTTCAGGTTATCTGGGCTTACGGGTTCAGGGGGTCAGGGATGTTGGGTTCAGGGTTTCTGGAGTTTGGGTATCTGGTCCGAGTCCAGGGTTTTTGAATTTGGGGCTTGTGTTTTCAGGGCTTGAGGGTGTATCTTCGCATGGGTCTGGGTCTAGTGTCGGCCCCCCCCCCCCGACGCTTTTTCCGCTTGAGCCATTCCAGTCATTTCCCCAATGTTTTGGGAACAGCTGTTAACCTCAATCGCCAGCCATCGCGGACCTTTGCACAAGGGGCTGCGCATGTCTCAAGCTTGCTTTAGCGCGCCGTATGTTGAGCCTTTCCCGAAAAAAAACGGCGGACTCCCCCGCCAGGGGCGCAGTGCAGTGGAGTAGCTTCCTCGATCGGGACTTCACTACTCCAGTACCCTTCCCGGCTAAACCTCAAGCTGCTCCGCTGCACAGGACTCAGATCGGACTCTTTGCGGAGCAACAACAGTGGTTTTTGCACTTTGCTGAAGAAAGATTCCAGGGGGGCGTGGCGGAGGCTAAGATCGATGTCCATGAAAGAGTTCAAGGAGCACTACTTGGATCGTCGGGAAGCTCATAAGTACACAGGAGACTTAGATAAGTGTATCTACTTCATGGCACTTATACATAAGCAGTTATAGGACTTATGTAGCTGGCGATAAGTCGGTTAATTACATACGTCCACTTAGTAAGTGTTCGTATAGTGACTTATAAGTCACTCAGGGTAAGGCCTATAAGTAATTCTTGGCAGTTATTGGCTCATGCTCACCCCGGTCAAGAAAGTTTCTCTGAAAAAATAATGTCCACGCTCAAGCTTACTCGAAAAATACAATTGCGACGCCCAAGTTTATTAAACAAATAAAGTTGCGATGCGCATGTTTATCACAAAATACAGTTACAATGAGCAAGTTTATTGGGCAATAAACAAGCACTGGACCCGACCGCAGCTAGCTAAGTCGACTGTAAGTCACTTACGAGAAAACGATAGTCGTACTTATACGACTTGCCGTAAGTGATGTATTTGATTATCAAGTGATGGGAAATGACTCACATCTGCTTTAGCAGTAAGTCACCTAAAACTCGATAACGCCACGTATCCATTGGCAAATATTAAGTGGCATATATTCATTTACGCCACTTAAAAAAAGAACACCCTGGTTACTCCCCGGGTGCTGAGATAAGAAGAAGCAGCTACTCAGGGAGGCGTCTGCCTTCTCTCTGGCGGGTGACATTGATACCTCGGGTGCCTTTGTTTTGGCTGTGCCAGGGCCTGCCAGGGTACGCCTTCAAATTGCTGATGGAGTGCCCCGACGTGGCCTATATCTCTGCAGCGCGCTTTACTTAGTGTCTCCGCGAGCCAGAGGTCCAGGACCTCGGCTGGGAGACTCCGTTTCGCCGCCGTTGTGCTCGGGACAGGCTTCGACATCGTGACACAGACCGAAGAAGCCATCCCTGCGCGGGTGCTATGTGGATGCCTCGCAGACCGGCCAGAATCCAGAAGGTGCGGGGCGGCTGCAGCGCCGCCACGACTTGGCGCCGACATGGCGCTTGGCCGAGGTTGTGGTCGCGCTTGGTTGGGCAGGTCAGAGGTGGAGGAGAGCTGAGCTTCTTGGGCCTTCGCTAATGGTGATCCCAACAGGGTCATCCCGTCTTTGGAACTTGTACCGGCCAGGCAGACTCGTTCTAACGCCAATCGCCAACAGCTACTTCGAAAAACCAAGCGTGAGGAAGAGTGCCAAGGACCTACGCTACGCGGGAAGAGAGCCCAAGCTGCATCCCTGGTAGCCCTTCGATTCGCGTGGAGATCAGCTAGCCGAGGGCGAGAACTTTTCTCCCGGCGTGATCGCTTCCAGCACATGCTCAATCAGTTTAGGGCCTAGCTCGCCAACTACTTTCAGTTTTCGACCCCATCACGCAGAAAAGTTTGAGGACACTACCTCACTAGTTATAGCTAGCACATCCTGACCCGCCACCTCCCAGCTAGCGCCGCCAGGAGTCTCGCGCGAATGTGGCGGCGATGAAGTGGCTCTGGTCGATATGGCTTAATATATCTGCTTATCTGCAAGTATCCATCCTGCCAGCATTGTGCCTGAGCTTGCGGCGGACAAGGTGCAGCATGTTAGTGTGCGAAGTGCAAGCGAGGCAACACCCACAGTTGAATCGAATCATTGGGATATCCTGACTTCTTCAGTGTGTAAAACCAAAGGTGGTGGTAGAGGCGACAGTTACAGCAAGCGGAGTAGCGAGTACCTGCTGCCCCTTGAAACCCCGGTCGAAGGCTTGGTCAGAGACATTCCCGTACAATCTGCATAGAGCGAGTTTTACAGTCAGGTTGCTGGCAGCCCATACTGGTGGATATGCCACAATCAGCTGTGCTCACTCTGCTTTCTGCTTTCTGTCCATAGCCGATTGTTCACTTTTGGGGGCGTAGTATGACGCAAAGAAGCTTCAACTTTGCATTGTTCCCACAGTGCTGAGACTTCTTGCAGCAGTTCTTTCTGCAGAGCAAGACATCTCGGAAGAAAGGGTTGTTGGACGAGGTCGAGTCGAGACCATTTTTGAGCCGGACGAGATCACGCCCGGGCACGCGTGGAAGTTGCGAGGCAGGATATCATTGTTCGGTGCGTCCCACAAGACCGTAATTAGAGCGTATCCGGGAATGAGTGTTGTGCGAATGACAGTACTCTTGGAAAAGTGAACGCTCCGGCTAATGACCTCCCTTGATCTGTTTTTCTTTGCAGGAGTGAGAAGCGTGAGGCCGATCCCGCAGACCCGACCCAGGAAGATAGATCCGGAGATCTTGACCGCTGGCTCAGCTCGAGCTGGGATGATCCTCCCGTCGAAATGACCGGAGGTCTGCTCTGCATTGATGCGATTCTTGCAGTTCTGTTGGAAATCCTACCGATGCTGATGTCTCGGTTGTTTCCGACGAAGGCGCAACTCACAAGTCTGCATGGTGGAACATTTTGCCGTAGCTTTGACGCGATCGAGGCTGCCCGGCTCGTCTTGATTCTTGTCGATTCAGACCATGTCGATGCTGCATTGATATCAAGGAATAGCCAACAATGACCAGAGCTCGCTGGTATCTTGTGGGATACAGGATTCGAGATTCCAATGTCAGATCTGCCGTCCGTGGTGATATTGCCAGTGTGTTTATTTGCGGATGGATCCGCTCCCAGGTTTCGTTTCTTTTCCGGGCTTGGGTTGTTTGATTGTTCGGTCGCTCGGCTGATGCTGACATGTCTGATCTCACATCCATTCCAGGATTCCGAACTGTTGGCACATTGCGGCCGCAGCAAGTTGCCCAGTGAGTCATCGAATGCTATGGGCCGGTATGGACTGATTCCTAGATTGTCGGCTAGGTAGG